GTTCCGCATCGCGAGCTTGCTGGAGGAGCTGATAACCTAGATTATGGGGTTGAGCCTGATAATGTGCGGGATCATGAAACACCCCAGGCGGATGAAGTGAGGGGGCTCTAGGGGTGACAGCCTGCGTAGGCGATGTCAGGCCTGGCATAGACATTGATAGCCCCCCTGGAGGTGCTCGGAGAACTGGAGATATCTGCCCTGGAGTATGTGCCACATGTGGCAACTGCATGCTGGGGTAGTGAGGCGAGCCTGTTGGGGTCAGGGGCTGGTTCGTCAGGGGTTGACTGAGCAGCCTCAACTGTGACGGTACTGGCCCGGCGCGTTGGTTAAAGGAATTTGGCATCCCGGCCATATTTTCAGCCGTTGGGGATGGAAACACGTCAAACCCTTGAGTTGGAGAATTTTGTATCGGTGTTGGCGCATTGGCTTGTGCTGGGGAGAAGTTGGTAGACATCCTAGTAAGATTGCCGATTGCGGTTTGCTGCTGTGCTATGGCGGCTGCTACGGCGTAGTCCTGTTGCTGTTGAAGGTGAGCTTGCTGGTGTTGATGCGGCTGTTGCTGATGGTGCTGTTGTTGAGGGGGCTGCTGAGGGTGCTGCTGCTGCTGCTGAGGGTGCTGCTGCTGCTGAGGGTGCTGCTGCTGCTGAGGGTGCTGCTGCTGCTGATGTGCTACTCGCCGTTTTTGATGTTGTTGCTGCCGTTGTTGTTGCTGCTGCTGTTGACTTTGACTGACCAAGATCTTGTATCGCGATATTAGCGAGTGTTGGAACACCCTTTGCTCCTGTTCGGACATCTGTGTTTGGTCGTTCTGAGAATCTTGTCGGAATAGCGCAGTCATCTGATCGGCGATGAGCCCGTCTGGGACACCAGTATGTCTCCTAGTGACGGTGAAGAAAATAGTCTCTAGAATCGGAGACCGAAGTTTGAGCTGATAGCGCAGTTCGTCTGCCAAGATAGGATAGCCTCGACCTGAGTGAGGTCGCATGGCAGGAACCAAAATCCTATTCCACTGTTCGTGGAGATTGTTTAGGAATCTGGAAATGTCCCCAGTGTGGTTGCGGTAGGCTTCAGTATGCCAAAGTCCAGAGGCACTACTAGCTGGAAAGTTTGCGAAGAAGAAAATCGTGTCCTGGCCCATATTTTCGTTCTTCCGAAGGACATTTTGTACAATGCCGAGTGCGCTGTCCGTCACGTCAGGAGGAAGACCAAGGAGGTCCTGTGCGGCTTTTGTGTCAAGCGTCCATAAACAAAGGATTTGGTGAAGGACTATGTAGAAGTAATCAGACTTCTCAATGGCGTCTTTGAGAAGCCGTACTCTGGGTGCCGTGGTGCCATCTTCTGGAAGTTTGGCCATGCCGCCGCGATCGGATATGTAGCTGTCGAGGTTCTTGGCCATGACGACTTGAAGGAAGCTATCTAGCGAGTCCCGGCTAGTTCCTGCGGGCTGTACTGCATGGGAATAGGCATCTTGCCTTTCGCCAGGAGGCTGTGGCGTGTGGTGACCAGCAATAAGCGGACTTGGAACCGCTGGCGGTCTAGGATTCTGGCCGGATGATGGTCGAGATGATATATTGAGCGTAGGGCTAGGCGCGGCTTGAGAGCCGGGAACCAGAGGGAGTGACACCGAGAACGAACTTGGTGGGTTTCCAGGAAGCGCAACTGACGGTGTCAACAGCGCTGGATGCTCACTGGATCCGATGAGGGAGAATCTTGAGGTGGAATGAAGATTTGTTGATAAAGGAGTCGGGTTGCTCAGATCTGGAACAGCTCTTCCAGGGCCAGCTCCCGAGAAATTTTGCGCAAACAAATTTGCTGGTGTTTCCTGGGCGCGGGCCTCGCCAGTCCAAGCCGTTGTTGCGTTTGAGTTGTTGGCTGCAAAATCAAGCCCGAGCTCTGGACTTTGAAGGCAAGTCTCCCGGGTTTGATGCGAGGTCTGGTTTGAGGTGACTGTGGGAGGACTAGGTTGGTCAGTTGGTGCCGGAGAGGGAAGAGCGGCTGCGCAATCACTGTCGAAGGAAAACGTTAGAGACGGTTGTGGCGTTGTGGGCGAGGGGAAAGACTGCGGGATTCCAGAAGATGAAATAGGGTAGGGGGAGTACGTTATGAGTTGGTTGGATTCAAGCGCAGCCGTCGACTTGTCTTGTAGGTTTTTATGCGGTCGAAGTCGGAAAGCAGACGGCACGACAGTTCCTAGCACAGATGGGGGATTCGAAGCGTTTGTCGAGGACTCTTCCCGGGGCGCTTGGGTTGGGACTATCGGGACACCATAAACACCCTGGGGATTTCTTGACGTCGGTCCCTTATTCGTATGGGGGCCGCGAGATGCTGGTTCATTTTGCGAGGTCATCCATGCTGGACGACGATTTCCCAGCAGAAAGTTGACAGTTTCATTCGAGCGGGCGACCTGCGCTCCTGAGAGGGGCCCTCCAGCTATATCTTGCTGGGCCCTGTGAGGTGACATTTTGTTTTTGGGCGGTCGTTTACGGGGTTTGCGGCGGGAGCGCGGCGGGAGCGAAGGGGAATCTTGAGCGAGACTGGAGTCGGCCATTCTGATTAACGAGGCTGTGGTTTGTCAAGAGAAAGGAAAAGTAAAAGTGTGCGCGTACCATGAGGCCGAAGTCTCAGCTAGCTCTGAAGTGACAGGTCGCCAGCCAACAAAAGTCAGAGTCGAAGTCGGAAGCAGGTTCTGCGTCGATACCTAGGGGAAAGAGCGACCGTCTCAAGTGGAAGGGTGGTGGTTGAACCAAGAGGGAGAGTGCGGTTCGACCCCTCTTGCCTCCAGGACTCTTGCACTTTGAGGTCTCGTCCCGTTTCGGCGAACAGCAATATTCGACACAACGGCAGACGCGACGGCGCAGGTCTCGGGAAGGCGCGCCTCATATATCTCGTAGGGCGAAGTTCATCGGCGGGTTTCGTCGTGACCGAGGTCAAGGTAGGGCGAGTGAGTAGATATGTATAGCAAAGCAACGAGCTCGACTAGGTGTGTCGCAGACGTCCGGCGTGGCGTATTGTTTTCTCCGGTATGCGGCCGAGGAGACCCCCGTCAAGTGGTGGCTGTGGACAGCGACGCGCTGCTGGGAAGACAATCGGTGAAACTCGAGGGTGTATTCAAACAAGGTAGCAGTGTAAAAGAGATCTACTTCAGTTGGGTTGGTCTTTCCACAACTGAAGTGACGATCCGACATTCGGGACGGGAAAAACCTCGGCGACGGTGGTGAAAGTTCCGGTTGGGCCAAATTGGATGGGAGAAAGTCGATTCTGGCAGGGGACGTGCACCAAAGTTTGGGGGTAACGGCCAGAATTAATGAATAGGACCGCCCAAATGGATGCTGGAAGATTGGAGTAAATGGAAGAGCCCACTGGAACACTTTGGGATGGGACGACGGGGGAGATGTTTGCCAATTGCCAGGCTAAGGCCGGAGCCGAGATGGTAGTGACCGGGGGTGGCCCTGACGATTGGTGAGGTGGGGATGCGTTAGTCTGAATTCGGCTTGGTACTTGGCTAGTCGCTATTCGACACGATACCCGTCTCGTTCTAGATCGACTTGCGATGGCTTGGATGGCACCGATGACAAGTGCTGAGTGGAGCCACAATCGAGGCATTCATTCATCATAATTGTTCGTTGCGCACCTTGAGAAGTTGAGCACAGTGTCCCCTTCCGCAACGCTTGCGCAAGATATCATGAACTTACGAGACCATATCGTGCATACCTAATGTATGTTTGTGCGCACGTACTCCAGGCATGGGCATATTAACACCAGCAGGGAGAGAGGCAAATCATGGAGGCCTACCTACACTCTTTTCTTCACAATGCGGTTTCCTAGCAAACATCCAAAGGTTGAATGTGAACCTAGCTCAGGACTTCCCGGTAGGTGATGGAGTTAGATAATGTGTTAAAGTCATAGAAACCAGATGAAGATGGATCCGGCGACAGAGTCCCCTTGCTTTCGAAAACAAAGAGTAACCCTACAATGGCCCCTGATTCGTCTTTCAAGGATTCAATGGAATATACGCAGTAAATCGAGAGCTAGCTATATATAGAAAGTTCACATCCACGTGCAAATAGGTCACCTGTATTTGAAAGGCGTCCGGGTATACGAATGTTTCTGTTTGCGCTCTGGAAAACCTCCCTTCACACACTCAGAGATAGGAAGGCATGCAACTTGACACCGGACCTCATGGCACACACCCCTTGCTTCCACATCGTTGATGTCTTGTCTCTCACCGTTGACAGTGGCTCAGGGCACTGGGGTGATGGGTATGACAAGAAGCGGCAGTTCTTTGTCTGCTTTGTCACTGTTGCTTCTTCCTGTTTTCCAGAACACAACTCTGTGTAACCAGTCTCATCACAGCTATTGGGGTTTCTGAGGTATATAAGCCACCGATGCCTGTGTGTGACGTTGTGATCATTCTCCTCATCAGCCGAGGGGTATCGATGTATCCAGCCTCGGGCTCCAGAGCCCTATCAAGAGGCTGCGCTATGTTAGAAGTCGATACTGGCAGGACAAACTTCCTGGCCTGTATCCAAACCATTCCCTCACGTACGGTCAAGCTCGTACTTACTTTATCAAACAGAAGTAGCCAAAAGCAGGGCAAAGAATTCAAAAGGCGATTCAAGAACGGACACCTAGAACATCTGAAGAAGTGTCGTTCTTCTGTACGCTTGTATCTGATGGCGGCCAGGCCGGGGGACTGCACCGCATGCTTAGTGTACGGATACTTGTCAACTTGTGGAAGCAACTCCGATGGTCCATCTCGCTAGCTTCGATTATCGAATTGCTTATTCTGGGGGATTGAGAGTGCAGGTCTCCTATGCAGATGGATTATGTAATGCAGAATCTTTCGTCCTCTTTTGTCGAACTTTGATTCCCCAAGTTCATTCAGTATGGATGGAAAGAGATGGGAAATAGTTGGCACGTGAGTCTGCGCGCCGCCCCAGCCTGCCCTGGCTTGTGAATTTTCCCAGTTGGCCGTGATTCGAGGTGGACGCGCCCGAATGTTAAAAAGCAAGCAGATTAACTGCATTGGCGAAGCGGGCATCACCTTGCCACTCCCACGACGACCGACACAGACAGCCATCGTGATTGGGCGTGTCTGGGGCCAGCGGTTTGCTCGCGGCTCCGGGCCATCCTTGCTGTGCCGGGGGGGGACCAGCCGCTGCACACTCGCTGCAAGATACCCCTCCCGGCCCCCTCCCACTCCCAATCGTCTTGCTGGTGTCCACGAGGAAACGGGGAACGGCAATGCCCTGGTTCCGCTGGGCCTCGTGGCGCGTGTAAAGTCTGGTCTTTTGACGCATGGCGAAATGGCGAAACTTGGTGACGGGCACCGGACGGACCGCCGGTGTGTTGTTCCTTCGGGGTGGATACCAAAAGATAGGGATGCGTGATGACGGCCGTGACTGTCCGTTCGGTTGGCTACGCAATGGGTGAGCTTGGAGCCAAGCATGTCCTAGCGACGGAAGAAACGGGGAACTCGTCAGCATGGCACGGCGACGGGCTATACTGGTCAACGGTAGGTCGTATGAAGGTGTTACGGGCTGCCTTTGCACATCGTAAAGGTGTCGGATGTGTTGTGTTGTGGATTGTGGAGGTATGAGAAAGGAAGCCAAAATGAGCCGGAAGCCGAAACAAAACAAGACCCGTCCGCTTTCCCGCAGGTGGAATCTCATAGTAAATTCTGATGATGTGACCGGGACAGGAACTCGGGATGGTGTCAGATCGTGAAGAACGTCTTCTTCGTGTCAGTGACTTCATTCGCCATCTGCTACTCGCAACAGTGAACTCTAACCACGTTTCCCACGGGTCCGGATGGTCAGGTAGTAAAGATTGCAGTGTGTATGATGCGTGTCCTTCTGCATGGCAAGTTCCAATATCGCGTCTTTTAAGGGACCTGCCCTACTGGGATAGATCTAGCAGGTCCCGTCTGGTTGAGGTGAGATTTGCCGTTATGGTAAGAGCGGATAGGTGGGAAGGAGGGAGGGAGGGAGGCCCCGGCCTGGGCCTGCCTTTCCATTCCAGCTCTTTGCCTTCCAGATTGATCACTCGCAGCATTCGCATCATTCGCGCCGTTCAGCGGCATCTTTTGCCTCCCGTCAAGTTTAATCCGCACTTTACTTTTTGTTTTAGCTTCTCTAATGTTGGGAAGGCACTCACTGCAATTTGAAGAGAGATCAACCGGGAGTCCTTCTGTGCCTCCACATAGATACTTTAGCTTGAAGGCGCCTCTTCCTGGCCTTTGTGTGTTTCGTTGAAGACCGAGAAGCGGTTCTTTATTCTATATTGCCCGTCCCTTTCAAACTGCGCCTCAGCAGGCAAATTTATCGGGCCCTTCTCTAGTCTCAGCAAATACCTACTACTTTACCTGTGGATGCAAAACTATTATTGTATAACCAGACTCTTCGCTCCTGCTTGACTTTAAGATTGTACCACCTTAGCTCCACCGTCACCATCCGTCATCCATTGCTTTTCGTGTTGTTTCTCGGTGTAGAGAACAGTAGCAGCAGCACCGGGTCCCAAATCCATTCCCGCCCGGCCGGATCCAACGAGTACGCAATCGCCTTTGGCGCGCTCTGAACCTTGGTCCGATCATCATCTTCAAGGTGCCGCACCTTGCCTTGAGCACAGAAAGCCACGGCGACTTCAACCAACAGGAACAGGGACGGGTTCACGGACGCTGCTGTCCCTTGCATTGGGCGTCCCGCATCGTCAGCTTCGCTTTCGTCACACGGTCCCCGTATCAGCAAGCCCCCTTCCTTATTTGGGCCTTTTTCCATTCCTTCCTACTACTTGACCTCACCTTATTGTCAGGTTTCCTAGGACACAGGTCTCACGGCTTCAGCTCCAGCCAGTAATCGTCTACTGTCGCCTTAGGCTTCACCTCACCTCACCTCACTCATCCGGGCACTCATCCCATCCATCAGTTGCACCTCGACCAGACCACCACCATCTCTCGGCCCCTTCCTTCCGTCCCAACTCGAAACCCAAGCGTGCGACCCCTTCCTGCCACCTTCTAGTTCCGTGCACTTCACGGCTCACCTTTGCTTCTTCTTTTTTCTTCTTCTTGTTATCCATCCCTGCGGATCGCACATGCTCGACTCTGCCTCAGGAAGGAACAACACCAAGACAGGTCTTTCTCTGCCTCGTATCGCATATTTGCTCTACCGACGACAACGACAATTCGACGTCAATTGGATTAGACATTAGACTTTCGGCCTTCACGGTACGGACTTCTCCTCCCCTCCCCCTTACAACCACATCAAACACCCGTCAGCAACTTACCACCAGCCCACGACTGCCCAGTCGGCCTCACATTGACCAAACCCACCAAACTAACCTCGAGGTCTGCATCTCATTAGGTAGCTTCTCGGGCCAGACCACAAGCCAGCTACTGCAAAGAGGTCTGCGCATACCTTACGCAGCGCAGCGCAGGTGCAGGTGCAGCGGCACAGCGGTACAGCCGACGGCAGAAGGCTTCCATTTGGGATCGCCTCACCACCATCAACTCCAGCTTCGTCTGACCCGTCCTACTCCATCATCCGTCCACTAAAGTCCCCAGCGTCGTCTATGCGCCCTACCTCTACGTCGCAATGACCCAATAGCGGCCCTTTACGCCAATTCTGTGTCCCCCAATCACATCCCACAACACTGCCTTGAGCAACTCCAACCTCGCACCTCAGCTTCCATTGCTTCCCCCGAGCTAGCAACGACCCTTTTTCAACAACTCGCCACTTTTTTTCTTACGCTGTCGGCAGTCAGCTCTTCAGCCCGACGAGACCAGTAACCACACCGAGTGGCCGGCCCAGGAGAGTCCGACACGAGAACGACTAGGAGACCTCATACTCGTGGGAAAGAAACGCCAACCACCAACCTTTTGCCCTCGACATATTGACAAGAAAACAACCTTTTTGGGGGCCATCGTCAACACAGCCAACTTTTGCTCCTTCCTGTCTTTCCACCCCGGTCCGCAATCATCTCCCATTCACCACCCTCGCCCTTCTCTCCTCCAATCCGACTTCTCCTCACCATCTTATCCGCCCACCACGGTCACCACCTAATACCTACCTGGTCCCAGCTGCCGAACAACTGACAATCCCTGGCTACTGCCACTCTTTTTTTCGCTTCGCCAGCAGCACGTCTCCACCCCCCTTGTCGTCGTCGCACCCAAGTCAAGTCCAGCCCAGACCAGGCTGCCCAGCCAGCGAACTCATCTCCTATGTATTGATCCCGTTACAACTCATTCTCTTCAGCAAACGCCATCCGCATTTGTCGCGGCGCCTGGCATCGTCGACATCATGGCTCTCCAGAAGCCAGAAGTTGGCGATACCCTCTTGGTCATACGTAAGTTCATATTCCACTCATCCGCTAACAACGCCTGAGCCCACTCGCCCGCCTTGTCCCGCTCCTCGTCACTCGTATTCGCTCGCGTCATGCAGCATCTTCGTCTCCCCGCCCTTGACAGCCCCGGGCCGGGTCTCTCCGCTGTGGAATTCCATCTGACGTCTTTCGCTTCTTGCAGATGACTTTATTGCTCGCAGCTCTGACGAATTGAGCCTAACCAAGGGCGACCGAGTTGAGTTAATAGAACGAGATGACGAGTTTGGAGATGGATGGTTTCTGGGCAAGCACCTCGTCAACGGAAACAGCGGCCTGTTTCCCGAAGGTTCGTCTACATGGCACCCAACCTATGCAAACAACAAGAAGCTCATCATCCATGGTTCAGTCTATACCAGGCCAGCTCCGAAGACAGCACCCCCGAACAACTTCTCGAAACCACTAGCAACGCTGCCCGAAGTGGTGAACGAATCCAAACAAACAAACCCTCCCGACCCGACCGACGACAAGATTACCACCCCCGCCGCTCCACCCACTCCCACGCCACCACCCGAGTCTCCGGCCCCCGTTACTCTACCTCTCAACAACATCAAGCAGGAAACCGCTCCAATCGAGAGTGTGCCGCCAGCCGTGAGTGCGCCGCCCTCCGCGGCCCTCGGCCGTATCAACACGAATCAGGATCATGTACTCAGCGAAACCCTCAACGTTATCGACGAGCATATTACCGATTTGCGCTCTACGCCTAGCAACGGCGCAATGCGTGCCCCTCCCACCGACTCTGGTAGCGAATACAGTGCTCAGCTCGATCATCGAATGTCCTACATCCACGGCGAAGAAACGGACGAAGAAGAGGAGGGCATGCATAGTCGATCCGAGGTGGAGGCATGGACACCGGACCAAGTTGCCGAGTATCTATTCACAGTCGGCGTTGAGAAATCGCACTGCGAAGTATTCCGCGACCAAGAGATTACCGGTGAAGTCTTGCTGGGTATGGACCAGAGTTCCCTCTTCATCAAGGCATTCGAACTGGGTTCTGTTGGTAGGAGACTCAAGACGTGGCAGAAAATCAAGTCTCTGCAAGACGAGTGTAACAACCTAGGTATTACGACGAGAAGGACGACGCAGACATACGGCAGTGACGTGGGTTCGGAAGATGCCAAGCGGTCTAGAAGCCGCGCCGACACCCTGACCAGCTCAATGCCCAGGATGACACCGGTTGACGACAGAGCCATGTCATTTTCAAGCAAGCGCCTTTCCTTTTCGCAAACGCCGAAGTTGGATACAGCATCAATTGTGTCGCCAGTCTCCCCGATTGTCGACAGTCCCACCCGTCCATCTCACATGAAACGACCTTCGGCTGCGTCCGTCAGAGATTTGCACCACTCTCGCAGGCACTCGTCGTCCACCGACTTCCGTTTGACGGGACAACCTATGGCCAGCACCGTGACACCGAAGCTGGCCACGAGTGGAACGTTTCCCCAGACCGATGGCGCTCATAAGAAGCAACCATCATTTGACAGGAACTGGACCCTTGGCAGCGCCTCAAGCCGACCACTTTCTTCTACCGGGCTTCAAGACGTCATGCAACAGTCTGGTCTACACGCTCCCGAGTCCGCCATCGATACCGACCGCGGGTACTTTAGCGGTACTGAAGTCGATGGCCGACGCCGCAACGTGCTTAGGAAGCGCGATAGCACCGCCAGCCACGGCCGAAAGAACAGTTACGCTGAGGAGCAACGGGTGCGTAGTGCTACCGCTATTTCGAGGCACTCAAGATTCGGAAGCGTCGACTCGAACCGTGACAGCGTGGCCTCCCCTGCCGCGCAAAAATACTACGGCATGCAGTCCACCGCCCACAGAAGAACTGCCTCAACAAGCACCACTCAGTCTGCGCGGCCCGTGCCTCCCGTCAAGGACGTTGGAGCACCCAGCGTCACGAAACTTGAAGGCAAGACTCGTGCCTCTCCGGTGCCCGAGTCTCCTGCGGCCCGCCAGGGTATTCACGCTGAGTGGCTTTCCGCTGTTGTGAAGCCCTCGATGAAGGTGGCCGGCTTGCGCGCAATTTCGGATTCAGTCTCGAGCGATCGCAACAAGGTGGCTTCGCCAATCGACCCATCTCTGAAGGACTCGCCTTTACCCTCGCCCGCTAGAACTGGATCGAGTACTCCCTCTGCGGGGCCCAGCTTCGAGCTCGATTCCCCTGATACCGCAAAGAGCCCTAGCACTGCCACCACCGTAGCGAGCAAGGGCAGCAGGAAGAAGGGCAAGAAGGAGACGAGTGCTTACCAACGAGGACTATTGAAGATCAGCCCCGCTGAAGCCGTCAAAGATGCCGACTACAGCGGGTGGATGAGAAAGAAGAGCTCCAACCTCATGACAACATGGAAGCCTCGATTGTTTGTGCTCAAGGGACGCCGACTTTCATACTACTACTCGGAGAATGACGATCAAGAAAAGGGACTCATTGATATCTCTTTCCACCGTGTTCTTCCAGCCGACAATGAACAGCTGACCGGACTCCACGCCAAGCTCACTGGCGCAGGTGCTACCACCGGGCACGACGCCAATGCCTCTGGAGAAAAGGGAGATGATACCATGTTCATCTTTAAGCTTGTTCCACCACGCGCAGGCCTGTCCCGCGCCGTGAACTTCACCAAACCGACTGTTCACTACTTTGCAGTCCCCAATCTCAAGTCAGGAAGACTGTGGATGGCAGCCCTCATGAAGGCTACCATTGACCGAGATGATACCCAGGCGATAACAACGACGTATCAACAAAAGACCATTTCCCTCGCCAAGGCAAGACAGCAGCGACACCGCCCTCCTGCGTTGATGAACCTCGAAGAAGCTCAAGAAGACGAGAGAAGACGAGCACTCGAGGCGAAGAAGAACGCAGACTCCCTCGGAATCACCTTTGGAGAGACCGACAGCGGGGTATCCGGCATGGAGAAGCCAAACTTTCCCAAGGTGGAGAGTGCTGACCCTCGGAAGTTGGCTTTTGAATCGGAGAACAATGGCACGGCCGGAGCACCGCCACAGAGTGCTTAGAGGTGGAACCCTTTTGAGCGTGTTTGCGGCACTTAATCAGTTCCCCTTCCTTCCTTTCTTGTACGATGGGACCTTTCTATATATACCTTTGTCATGTATGAGGGACACGAATTCCGCATAGGGGCGGCGTATCTGGGATTGCTTGAGGAGAGCCAGAAGATCCAGCAAGGAAGGGCGATGGACCTGGACATACGAGCGAATAATTTTCACAAGAGTGATTCCCTTTGTTTCCTTTTTCACTTTTTTTACTCTCTTTCTTCCTATGGCTGTCGAGTCGCTCTGTCGAGTCGCTCTGTAGAGAGGGCATAGACTCTGTTGGCAGCACAGCATCCGATGCTGTACATACACAGGAGAAGAAGGAGGTCCTTTAACGCGCACTAGAGGCTACGTTGATGAATGGAGTCGGCACAATGGCCTTTGTCTCCCGACAGGGGCTGATATGCCATGGATAGGGGGATGATACCTAATTAAAACAATTTTCTGAACTTCTGATGCCTCTGTGTTTGTGTGTGCGTGTCGACAGGATTCTCTCTGGCGATATAGGTGGAAGAGAGAACGATTTGTTGCCGCAGGCTGCTTACATTGACATCGGACCAGGAGATGAAGTATCTGGCATCTCAAGATTGTCGGAAGAGCAAGGACGGGCAGGTGGGTGTAAGCAGCCTCATGAACAGGGGAAGGAAGGACGCGAGGACCTGGCAGAAGGAAGAGCTCGCCGAAGGGAAGGAAGCAGGGCCAGGTATTTTGAGTGGACGGTCTTTAGGTATCGGTCTCATGATGTATGGAAAGGGGAGGTCCTATCAAACTTATCACGAGTCAATACGATTAAGCGTAGTTGCAGGTTCAATGCCAGTCATACGTCACGCGAGGAGGAAATGGAGCTAAAACCTCCGGTGTCTCGATCCAAATTTGGTCGATTCTGTTGACTATCTACTTTGGTCGGCTAGGCTAACAACCTTTGATTCAAGAGGGGATCAATCAAGAATGAAAGTGTTCACGAGAATATCGTTCCCTTTTCCCCACCATATCCCATCCTGTCCGATTCCTCCTTTCCTCAAACTCATCTCGCCACGGCCGTGTGCCCTGAACAATCGAGGGTATTCTCAAACATGCGAAAAGACGACTGCGAGATGCGACTGCCATTTGCAAAACAGGGGGTTTGACTATGAGGAATTCTCCTTTTTCTCGAGAGAACAGGATATCTCCCAGAGTCGTGTTCTAACAAGAACGAGTAGAGTTGCAAAATCTTGGAAGGAGTCGAGAGTAAGCCAGATTCTTCTGCCAAAAGCAAGAGAAAACGTTGCCTGTCTTGATCTCTTTTTCCCAGATAGTACCTCCTCACTCGAGGGGGGAAGAGTGGTATGTCGAAGAAGTGACTATCCATTTCCTGTGATCCAACATGTTTTCTTTTTTTTCGGGGGTCATGTTGATTTTGTAATTTTTTTGGGTGCTTGTGTACTGAAGCCATGTCACGACGTGGAATCCAGGCGGCTGGTCTCAATAACAGTTACAGGGGAATGAAATGCCGAGAGATTCCATGCCAAGTTTCCGTTCGACGACGATGCTCTCATGATGGGTACTCTGAGCATATTGGCGTTTCTGCTTTTTTTTTGCTATTTTCTCAGTTTTTCGTTAATTGTCGCAAGCAAAACAAGCAGTAGCATTCCGTAAAGCAGCAAAGGAAAAGGACGTCTCGAACTGTTTCGTAAATCGATTCATTCGTGCGTCTCTTCGTCTTCATATAGTCATGCTTCTTCATCGTTCATTCGTTCAGAACCAGTCAGCGTCATAGCCAGGAGCAGGGCTGTCGGGAGCAGGCGCCGGGGGCGCAGTCGCAGCGCGACGGAAGCGACGAGGGGTGCGGAGGCTCTGGAAAGTAGCAGGAGCCTGAGCCTGGGTATAAGCCTGAGCAGGAGCGAAAGCGTCGCTGTAGCCGCCGTGGGTGCTGGAGGCGCTGCTATCTCCTCCGCCGATGCTGCCAGCCGGAGTGACCCGGCCGGGAACAGACGGAGCAGGGCGCGAGGGGCAAGGGGGAGCGACGGTGCCGGGCGAGGGGCCGGGAGGGTTGGGGTAGCCGACGGGAGGAGCAGGGTAGTCTGCCTCGGTCATGCCGTAGTGCTCAAGGACCTCACGGCGCTGGCCGCGGGTGAGGGGGACAGGGTCCATGTCGTCAGGAAGATTGTTGTAGCCCGTCTTCTTGAAGGCGTAGCCGTGGGAGAGGGCCTCCTCGTGGTAGTTGGGATCATTCCAGGGCTCGTCCTTGTACTGGCTCTCCTTCCCCCCCTGGTTCTTCTCGCCAGTGGAGGCGGTGGAGTTGTAGCTCGAGGCGTAGCTGGAGCCCACGGCGGCAGGGCCGGAGGTGGTGTAATAGTGGTCATTTTCCTCCGCGAAGAAGTCGTCCAGATCAGCCATCTGCTGGGACATGGTCGCGGGAACAACAGACGTGGCGGGCGTGGGCGGGAGGGCGGTGGCGCCGGCGAGGCGGACAGCAGGACGCTGCAGGGAAGGGTTGACAGTCACGGTCTGACGAGTGATGTTGTCCGAGGCAGCAGCGGGAGCCGGGGCAGTCGGGGTACGGCTGGCGGACGAGGACGCAGATGGGACACCGTTAAGGATGGCAAGAGCCGTCTCGAGATCGCGCGCCTTCTTCTCGGGAGACTGCTGGACGAAACGGTTGAACTCGTCCTGGATGACGGTCTTGTACTCCTCAGGCGTGAAGCTCCGGTGGGCGCCAGTCTCGTCATCGACCGGGGGCTTTGGGAGCGGCGCCATCTTGCGAGTGAAGCCGGTCAGGCACTTGGTGTTATTCAGAAGAGTCCTAGGGGAGCTACTACTGCTAGATGTGGTGGTCTGAGTCTGAGCCGGGGTCTTGTCCGACTTCTTCTTCTTGGTGGCCTCCTCGTCATCACTGTCGACAAAGTCGTACTTGCTGCTCTTGGGTCTCTTGGGCCAGCTGAAGTTGCGAGCGCTACCGCTACTTCTCGGACCGCCGCTCTGAGTGGAAGAGCCGCTCGTGGTTCTGTTCAGGAACGGGTTGTTGCCGTTGTAGGCCTGAGTGAAGGAGGTGGACTCTCCAGCAACCATGCGGTACCTACTGGAGTTTGACGAGCGCGGAGCATCGGAGACAGAGGACGTCTTTCTCTGAGCCTGCGAGGCGTCCTTGGCGCCGGGCTTGTCGTTGTCGACCGCAGGCTGCTTGGCGCGAGAGGGGATGCGAAGCGGAGCAGGCTTCATGGTGTGAGACGCAATCGAGCGGTGGGCGTAGACCTCCTCGTCGAAGGCGGCAGGAGCCTGCTTGTTCTTGCCCTTTCCGAAACCGGGGACGATGTCCTCCTTCTTGATATCAGTCGAGAAAGTGTCGCGAATCGGCTTGGTATTCTCGAGATGAACAATTTCACCACGAGCGTGAGCGGCATTGACGCGCTCGTACGCACGACGGTTGATCTCATCTCGCTCCTGCTGAGCAGCAGAGACCTTGGCAACCTTGACGTCGTCGGTATCGGATAGTTCATCGTCGGAGACGTGAAGTGAGGTTCGAACGTTGCTCTAGAACGCATCAACCTCCTTCGGGTCTCTCTGGATGAAGGTGTAAGACTCGTCGCTTTCCGCAGTTTGCTGGGAACGGCTATCCATGGCAGTCGGCTTGCCGGCGATGGTCTTTCCCCCAGACTGAGTGGAGGAAGGTGGAGGAGCGGGTCCGTAGACGGGCTTATCGCTAGGCTTGTCTGTAACTTGAGCTTGAGCCTCGTCGAAGGCCTTGAGGTAAGCCTGGGCCTTTGCCTGATACTCTGGCGTGAGGTACTTGTTCAAGTGGAACGGGTCACCGTTGGACGAGCCAGTGCTCGAGTCATCATCATCGGAAGAAGAAGAATCATCATCGGTAGAGGCCTCTTTCGTCTGGCTTTTGCTCTCCGCGGCTTGACCATAGGCGGTGGTCGTCTGGGTCTCGTGGGCCACGGGCTGAGAAGGAGCTGCAAGAAGCGAATCGTCTTCAGAGTGGACGTCGTCGGTGTACTCGCTACCAGAGTCGGCAGGATCGAGAAGGTCGGCGGGCTTCTTGGCAGCACCAAGAGCGCGCCAGTAGTCAATCTTTGCGTAGATCTCTGGATACTTCTCGCGAAGCGAAGCCTCCTTGGTGGTGTGCTCTTCAAGGGTGGGCGAAGTGACAGCCTGAGGGGCAGTAGCGACGGGAACCTCACCCTTGCGAGCCTTTTGGGCTTTCTTGTCGGCCTTCTTCTGGGCCTTTTGCTCGGCTCTGCGTTCGGCACGGGTGGACTTCTTGGTCTCTTCGTTCAGAACACCCTGCTTGGATGATTCTCCGAAAATTTCGTCGAGACGAGCGTTGGTGGCATCGAAAGCAGCTTCCTGGGCGAGACGCTCTTCCTTGGCGGACGGGTGGCGCTTCTCAAAGGCCTCGTTGAGCGAAGCCAACTTGTTCCACAGTTCAATCTTAGCAGCCTTCACCATGGAGACGCCCTCATCTTCCTCAAGAGGAAGGACCTTGACCTTGGTGTGAATGTGCTTCGGAGCAACATAGTTGTCGAGAGAGCGCGCAAGGGACTCGTCATTGAAGTAGTTCTCCATCTTGAGAAGCTCCAGGTCAACAATCTCTCGAACGGATTTTTTCTTCTCGGGCTGAGAAGCATCACCAGTCGCGACAGAAGCAGCGGTGGTGTCAGTAGACTCATCAAACGACGCCTTGCCCTTGCCCTTGTCGGCAACGGGCGACGAGGCGGGGGTGAGATCGAAATCTCCGTGGTCAGACATCTTGTCGGATTTCTCGAGTGTAGCAGTTGCTCCTTCGAATTTCGCGACCATTGCCTTGACCGAAGACGCGACGAATGTTTGACGATCGCGAGTACTCGATGGAGAAGGTGAGCCAGGTAAAACGTCTCGTTTTCGATGAATGATGCTCTGGCTTTCGGGAAGGGGAGGAGGAGATGATGAGGATTTTTGGTCGAATCCAGGAGTGAAATCGTCTTGACGAAAGAAGGAGGAAGTCTTGCGACCGAGATTGGCAGAAAAGCTGTCTGGAAATCGAGCCACTGGCCTCTTCCGGTCGAGGACGCTGGGCTCGAGGGGCCCTCTAGGCTTCTGAGGGCCTGCCTCCCTCAACTCAAGCGGGTCAAAAGAATCCATCGTTAGATGAGCGGGAAGACCAGACGGGTAGGTCAGGTGATTCGAGTCCGGACGGAGTGATGTGCGTCAAAACTTCAGTCGAAGGAGAGGCGAAAGGCAAGATGGAAGCGGAATTTGACGTGAGCGGTTCGGAAGAATAAGCCGTTAAGCAGAACAAGGAGAAAATCTTCATCAACAAAAGGGAGCAGTACGAGGTAACGAAGGTTCATGGGAGCCAGGCCATGCACCAAGCCTACAAGATGAGAACTCAGGGGCGGAGTGAAGACGACTTCCATGAAAGAGAAGTTGGTGAGTGACTGGGGGATTCGAGAGGTGTATACTTGTGTGATCGTCGAGAGTGATGCAGTGTGATGAGAGAAGATGCGTGAACTTGGGCATAGTAGTTCTCCAAATATTGAGGGAAAGAGCACCTGTGCCTGGGTGGCAGGAAGCAAGAAATTGAAAACCAATTTACCATTGTTGTCTTTGATATATTCATCATTATATTCCAGACCATATTCAAGATGAACTTTGCCCCATCTTTCAGGCTGGACACTTGACTTGGTAAGCGCACCTCCTTTATAGATGCAATGCGCACCCTCAATGCAGACATTGTGACCTCGAACTATTGAGAAGTATGTAATACTCATAGAGGAGTACATGTAGGGTCCCTAAGAGGACATTTCAATGGTGTATCATATGTCCTATACTCATAGAATCAGAAGTAGTGTTCACTGGCACTGGTCCTGGTCTCTATAAGAGAATGTTTCCCATACCTTGCTCCCACAGCCTTTACTAGAAGCTGATCGTCTCATTTTTTCCTCGTTTTATGCTCGAAGTTGCTACCTCCCGTAGCTAATGCTGGGGATAATGATATGCAGGACTCACTACCACGAACGTTGTGAAACCTGCTGATTAGCATTAAGAGTACAATCAGGCGATCGAATGAAGCTTGAATCTTCTATGGATTGGGGATCTACGGCCACTTGGCTGAAGGTGTGATTTTTTCGAGCGCTGCTTTGCTTTGTCAAACAGATGGTGTGAATCTCATTAGAGACGTTCAACTTGGAATAATATCGGGGAAACTATATCTCAGCCAGTGCAAGGTATGAGAGCCTCATTCATCTCTCCATACCACACGTATAGTGAGTTTCATAATCCTACACCAATATTTTGCGTCTTCAAGGTGGGCTGTTGGATGATGATCAAATATCAAGTCTGGACGTTGGTGTTGTTGGTTCCTGGTCGTCCATGGCGCACAGACCACCCGGCAGATCCACCTTCCCGGCCACGGCTTCCTCCGTGTCTTCTCAGGGTTCCACGTTGCTTGAAAGGCCCCCACATCAATTAAGTGGTCAAGGGGAACACATCACAGTTGCCCGTCAGTTGGCATCAATCATCAACGACAACCTCCCTCCGAACGAACGAACGAAACCGCCAAGATGGACCCCTACTCTGCCGAAGGCGAATTGATCAACGTCCACAACTATTTCCACCAAGGCCAGTACCAGGAGGTCATTGATTACGATACTTCTGCCCTTTCCTCCGAGAATGAGCTTCCCGCCCGCGTTCTAGTCCTGCGAGCCCGCATCGCCCTTGGTCAAGCCGAAGATGTCATCGCCGACGTGCAGGGAGAGAAGGAGCCCGAACTGGTCGCCCTTGGAGCGCTCGCTGAGAGCGCACTTGGCAAGACGGATTCTGCCGTGAAGACCATCGAGAAGCTCGCCGCATCCGAGGGGGAGAACGCTACAGTCCAGATTGTTGGTGGTACAGTCCTGCAGGCTGCGGGCAAGTCAGAGGAAGCTCTTGCCTTGCTTTCACAGCACCAGGGAAGCTGTACGTTTGACTCCCATTAGTTGAAGGAATTGGCGCTGACCCGGGACTCGCAGTGGACGCTGTTGCCCTGATTGTTCAGATCCACCTCCAACAGAACCGTAACGACCTCGCCCTCAAGGAGGTTACCGCCGCGAGACGATGGGCACAGGACAGTTTACTGGTCAACTTGGCCGAGTCATGGGTTGGTCTGAGACAGGTACGATAACTACACCACGAATGAAAGAACGAGACTAAGAAAGTACAGGGCGGAGACAAGTATCAGCAGGCTTTCTACGTGTTCGAGGAGCTTGCGCAGGCGCCGGCAACGTCGTCTATTGCAACTCTTGTCTCTCAGGCCGTTGCTGAGCTGCACCTTGGACGCACAGAGGAGGCACAGGCAGCGTTGGACCAGGCTCTAGCCAAGGACGCAGGCTATGCCGAAGCCATTGCCAACCTTCTGGTGTTGACGGTGATTTCGGGCCAAGATCCCAAGGAGTTCACGGAGTAAGTTCCGATGCACGACCAAGGCGTCGAGTCGACCTGCTAACCACGTGGACACAGGAAATTGAAGGCGGCGGACCCCCAGCACCAGTTCCTTGTGGACCTGGAGGAGAAGAGTGCGCTATTCGACAAGGCGGCGACTAAATACAGCCCCAAGGTGTCTGCATAAGGTAGACAGCGGGGGGGTGTGTACTGCTGATGAGGCATAATGTTAGGCGTACGGTTTAGAGGAACTCAAATGGAGATACAACGGCTCGGAAAAGCGCAACGAGACCACTCGAATTACTACTTTCCACTTGAAGATACCCATCCGTTCGCCCTCGCTTGATCCGAAAGTCGGTTCCTTCTTTGCCAGATGCGCGCGACCCGCCAGTGATCGGCAGGGCTCGAAGGGTCTATGGTTTCGCCGAGACCGTCTGGCCAGCTGTCTGTTTCGGGCATGCATGAACAAACCCCCGGATCATGATAGGACGGAACTGGACTGAGAGGGCCGGTTGACCGAAGCCGCCCGAGGTGACGGATCGGTGGCTTTACACATCGGCAGATTGACATCATGGCTTCCTATTCTTGATTAGCACCAAGCGCCAACTGGACGGCCGGGGCCCCATGCGCCTGACTCAGGGCTTTCTCCCAACTTTTAAGTCAAAGAAGTACAAAAATCACAGGCAAGCAATTGCTATTAGGGCTTACTGCCAGGATAGTCCAGTGGAACTTGCGCTTTGAACAGTTCTGGCTGACGGAGCAGACTTTCCGGCAAGGATTGAGTTTGAGTAAGGTGTGATGAGCAGGACATCCGAAAAAAAAAAACGAAAAAAAAGTTGCCACTATCTTTCGCATCGCACAGCATCGAATTTTGTCTCGCTTGTCTCGCCGGTCTAGCATTGTGGATCGAAGCCGGACGTGGAGGGGTAAAGTAAAGTGAGCACTCAGGGTCTTGCACGGACGCGCGGGGCTCAGAGAAGGTCGAGTTTACAGATTTCGCGATGCATACTACGTATGCTCAGTCACTACATCTCACTTCTGCAGACACATGCAAAGAGCGCCTTCAACGTCATCGGTTGCTGTAGGTTGAACATATCAGCCGTAACCTACCGGTCAAGGTCTGCTACCTTACGACGGCTCGCAAGGGGTTTGACGCCATGGAAAGTTGTCGATAAGGACTCTTTGTGAAGGATTGCAGGTTCCTACTGGTCTGGCTCACCTTGGTATGTACAGCACAGGCCTCATTGTGTTCACCGCCAAAACGGACATGGGCCTTGATCGGCTAGAACATGCTCCTCGCACAACTGCATGGCGAGGACTCGTCGAGGCCTCAGTCAACCGGAAACCAGACGAATGAGCAGACCGAGCCGCTACAGATGGGATGGATTCATTGGAGGGCAGCGAACATGGAGGGCACGTCCAGGTTCCGAGCATGGAGACTGGAGAAGGATGGAGGCTCCGCTCGTTTGCCCCAGCATCGCCGACCTCGATTGTTTCGATCTCGTCCTCAAGGCTCAAGGCTCAAGCCCCTTTCACAATGCATATGCACGTCTCCACGGGCCTTGGGCTAGACGACCTGGAGTGTAGCAGCAACTTACCGTAGAAACTCGAGCGCTTCAAACTTGCGTTAGCCCGTGCCAACCCTGCTAGCTGCCCATACTAAACCTTTTCGGGGGGTCAATTATATTCGATTATTAAATCGACTATACCGTATAGAGAAGGCGGTAAGTGATTATTTTCCATTTCTTGCTCCTGCCCAACTGCCTCCAGCCTCGACGGCGAGCTTTCATTGGCCAGATCAATCGAAATGCTAGCGTACGCCCAAAACGGGTGGCGGCCACACTTGACCACTTTGGGCAGTATTACGGTTCTGCCAGAGCGCTAGCAGGGTTGGCACGGGCTAACGCAAGTTTGAAGTGCTCGAGTTTCTACGGTAGTAACGACTCGGGGGCCAAACGACCAAGGCACGTACACCGTGGCCAAGCTTGCCTGCATCGCGTCACATCGCGTTACGACAAAAAGTCACTTGGCTAGCGCATCTCGTTGAAGGTTAAGCGCAGTTAAACTGCATGTCGGACGCGGACCAGGGCATATTAGAGCCCTTTTGGTGCTCTTCTCAGCAACTACGGAGTAAGGTACTTTACGCCTCAAGCAACGCGATAAAGAGCCCCACTGAGGGACGGAATGACATCACCGTGCAGGTAGCTCGAATTTGACCATTTTCCCATCAATTCCTCATGTTGATTCCCCCATCCGCCAACCAAATGCCACATGCCTCTGCTGATGGCAAAGAAACGACTGTGGGCTTGTCACCATGTATCCTTGCACGCATCATGGAACGACGCAATGCCGTCTACCGCACCCTCAATGCAGCACCTTCATCCTCTCTGGCATCTTCATGTCCCAACTTTCCTTACGTTTTCTGCTTTGCTTGGATCAGCTCGGCGCAGTGAATGTGGGGACGACGGGCTTTAGACTCCGCTCTCGGTGGCATATTTCCCATTTCCCCCATGTCTACCTATGTACTGATGCGGCCAGGCTTTCGACCGTGGTTCGGGGGGGGGGGGGCTGGAATGTTCTGTTTGGTGGCACCTTTCTCTGTTGATTTTATCTTTTTTCCCACACTCTCTCTCACTTTTCGGATGGATGTATCATGTCGCCTCCCGATCCTTCCCCCCTGCTCAAGTGAACTGATGGGGCACGCTTCGCTGACCGAAGCATCGGGTTCTGCAGCCATTCTCGGCCATTCTGGTGGCTGTCTCGAACAGTCGGAAACGGTTTTGTCTGTTCACTTTGTTTTTAACCTTTCCGAATGTCGGCTTTGGGAGGGCTGAATGCCAATAAGGTGCGAACCAAGGACTGCCATTCCACTGGACTCGTTCCGGGTTCGTTGGAGAAATCTTTCTCCTGGCGATCATCAGAGGCTCTGCTAGACTCTGAGACCTGGTTGGAGCCCCCAAGTGGCTGTCTGCCACATCGCCCACAGCCATTTGTCAGATTGCACAGCCGGCCGCCTTCCGTTCCGCGTGCGAGGGTGTGGGAGCGTGGCAATAGGTACAGCCAACCCATCCCGCAATTCTGAAAAAAAGCCCAAGAGTCAGAGAGAAAGGGGGGTAAAGGAATTAGCCAGTCATACTCCGTACACTGCTCGAATCTGGCCCTGCTCCTCGTTCGCGCTAGAACGTCCCAAGTGGGCATAGTTCGGAAAAGCCAGATGCCTTTGCCCTTTGGGGCCCTGTGAGACGCCGTCATCGTATGTGGTGTCCATTGGCGACTGGCAGTCTGCGGTGCGCCCGTTGACGCCGTCCGAGTCGGCGTCTCGGCCGCTTGCCATTGTGCAGTAGTATCCCGGAAGCGGCTTTTGAGAATCCCAACGAGAGCGGAGTCCTTCTCGCTCAAAGGCTGGCTGGCCTTGGCTAGGGTTCTTCTTGTTCGGCCATGATCCATGACCCCCTCGTTCTGGTATACCTAGTTTCTCTTTCGTGAAAGCCCTTTGCTCATGCAGGTTGGCGCGCCCTGACGCCCCGTATTTGGCGGAGGACTCGGGGGAGGGACGGGGGTAGCGGGGAGGGGTGTGAAGAAAAAGCCAACTACCTTTCGGAATTCAGGCCGTCATCGTGAAGAGGATACTTTGGCTGGCCGGCTGGCTTTGCGCCTTTTCCCCCTTTCTTTGCCGTTACCGGTTCGGTCGAGAGTTCGGCAGTATCGCATGTGGGCATTGCATTGACTTCTATTAAAGCTGGACACCTCCCGTTGAAACTTGGACGTGACAACCTTAATTCCCAACTACCCAACCTCTTTTGCGCATCTAATCGAGACTATAAGTATCTCTTCCAGTGCCAGTAAATACCGACATCTTGGTACAACCAAAGTATACACAATCTTCCAATCGCCACAATGCCTATCGCCATCTCTCCCTCAACAGTCAAGGCCGCCGCCGAGTCTGGCCTGCCTGCTTCGCAAAACAAGAAGCGCAAGATCATCTGCTTCTCAGGTAAGATCACCTCCGTTCACCCCTGGATCTCGCCACTTGCTGACAACGAATCCTCCAGACTTTGACGGAACAATCTTCATGCAGGACACCGGCCACATCCTCTTCGACGCCCACGGCTGCGGCTCCGAGCAGCGCGAGATCCTCGACGAGCAAATCAAGTCCGGCGAGCGCTCCTTCCGCGATGTATCCGAGGAGATGTGGGGATCCCTCAACGTCCCCTTTGACGACGGCTTCGAGGTGATGGAGAAGAAGCTCGAGATCGACCCGGCCTTCCAGGAGTTCCACAAGTACTGCATCGCCAACGAGATCCCCTTCAACGTCATCTCCGCCGGCCTCAAGCCCATCCTCCGCCGCGTCCTCGACACCTTCCTCGGCGAGGACGCCTCGGCGCACATTGACATCGTCGCCAACGAGGCCGAGATCACCGACGACGGCTCCGCCTGGAAGCCCATCTGGCGCCACGACAACGAGCTCGGCCATGACAAGGCGCTCTCCATGGGCGAGGCCCGCGAGCAGGCCGAGATGGCGTGCGAGGACGGCACCATCCCCCTCATCGTCTTCATCGGTGACGGCGTCTCCGATCTGCCTGCCGCGCGCCAGGCCGACGTGCTGTTTGCGCGCCGCGGCCTGCGTCTGGAGGAGTACTGCGTCGAGAACTCCATTGCCTACATCCCCTTTGACACCTTTGCCGGTATCCAGACCGAGATCCAGCGCATCCGCGACGAGGACGACAAGAAGACGGGCGGAAAGGGTATGCCCGCCGCCTTCAACCCGCGCGCCAACATGTGGAGACGCATGTCGAGCAAGTCGGCGATCCCCAAGCTCGTCGCCATCACGCCTGCCGAGGAGAAGATGTTCCTGTGGCCCGAGGTGTTCAGCGTTGCCACGCCCAGTATCGAGAAGGCCAACATTGCTCCCGTCTTTGCTTAGGCGTCGTGTCAGACTCGATTGTCTTCTCATTTGTTTTATCGTCAGGTCGTTTTGTGTTTGAAGACGACCCGGTGCATAGCGTGCGAATTTGCTTTGAGAGATAATGGTTCGGGTACTCCGGCGTTGGCTTGGGCTACAGGGTTTTGTTTGGATTAGAGATCTGGCGACGTAAAGAGAGGTCGATAAACTATCTTCCATATCGTTAGATATAGATACAGATACAGATCAAGGATACAATGTCTTGCCATTTCAACTTATTGCCACCGTTACGAATGATTGCCTTGATATATGATGAAATCGATTCTAAGAAGTTGCTTGGGACGTGTTACGCTCCAATGTATTACATAGGAATGATCCAACAAAACAGAGCCTAGTAAAAGGGGCTTCGAAGCGGACGGAAGGGCGACTGGAACAGAACAATTTTGTCTTTGAGGGGTATATCGAGACGAGTTCCCACATAGAGGGGAACAGAGTCACATATCAACATCGTGACACGCCCAAAATGTGTTCCAAAGACTTCTTGAATTCAACTCAAGCCTCATCCAGAGAGGCTTTCTTCCTCTGTATTTCTCGTGTCCCTGGTTCCCCTGACCAGCCAAAGCAAAACACTAGGGTATAAACGTACTACAATAACCGTTCCCCTACGACTGTCCAGTCCAGTCCCGCCCCGTCCCGTTCATCCATTTGGCCGAAGGGAACGACACCAATCGTCATCATCCATTTCGTTTCCCATCTCTATGCCGTTTCTCAAGTCCTTGACTATCAAGCCAGACCAACTTTGCCCTCCGACCTTGCTTAAAACAATAATACATACACACACACTTCCCCAATTAACACCATTACAATGCCTTTCCCAGATGCAGAAACTTTTTTTTTCGAAACAAGAAACCAGCAGAGAGCACTCGTGACCCCGACTCATGACAAAAGGGGTACTGTAGAACCCGAAAGAGAAAATATGTACAGCTGAACGGGAAATGGAATAAGAAACAATATGCAAACACTGAGGTGACCCAACGAAGCGACCAAGATCAAGCATACCCCTTGGCAGGATCCAAGACGCTCACGCCCTGACTCGAGAACGTAGCGTGCCCAAACGTAGTCTCGGGATCCTGATCGACGACGCCCCACGCGACGTTGCTATACGCGGCGCCCACGTCGCTCGGCGGGCGGTGACACCGCGAGGTAATCACGGCGGAACACCCGCCGCCCTGCAGCACGAGCGGGTTGCCCGCCTTCTCCCCGTCGACGCTCGTGGGCGACGGGTCCGCGCGCCGGAGACCGAGGCCCAGCACCAGCGCCGCGACGACGACCAGCAGCGCCAGGAACGCGAGCAGGCCCACGCCGCTGAAGCCGACGCCGTTGATGGGCATGGGGAAGTTGTCGTCGCGGGTGGCGGGTCGCATGTCGACGGACACCATGGGCACGGCGTTGCTCAGGACGAGGCCGAGCGCCGCGAATAAGGCGAGGAGGAGCCAGGATAGGGGGCGGGGCAGGGTGAGGTAGAGGCTTGTCGTCTGGGTGCCGCGGGGCCGGCCTGAGCTGACGCGGAGCGGGAGGGAGATGCCAGGGAGGGCGTACTGGCTCAGCTCGTGTGAGAGGTAGTAGGAGGAGAGGAGGGCGTTTGTGGAGAGGTAGAGGGCGGCGAGGAGGAGGTGGGGGAGGGCGGCGACGATGGCTACTCCGGCGCGGGCGCCGCCGTTGGGGAGGGGGTAGAGCTCGTGGGGGAGGGCGCTGCCGAAGGCGCCGAGGGAGGAGGACGGGTCTTTGCCGAGGGAGACGGCGAGGGCAGCGGCGGCGAGGGCGGCTGGCGTGGCCCAGGTGATGAGCCAAAAGGTCCAGAGGGTCAAACCGGGTGTCTGGAACCAGAAGTGGTCGCGCGAGGTCCAGTACTTGGCCTCGCGGTAGCCCCAGCGGCCCTGTTTGACGTCCGTCTTGTCGAGGAGGCAGATGCCGCGGGTGGTGTGGTCGGGCTGGGAGATGAAGGAGGCGAGGGCGTCGCCGAGGGTGACGAGGGGCTCGAAGCCGGTGAAGAAGTAGACGGCGCCGATGGCGGAGACGGAGACGAGGTTGAGGATGGCGATGACGCCGAGGAGGGAGCCGTTGAGGACGACGGTGCAGGGGTTGCGGTCCTCGGGGCGGGCGAGGCAGTAATCGACCGAAGAGCTGTTGATCTTGATCTGCGTGGGGTTGGACGGGTTGACGATGAAGGGGGCGAGGGAGGACCCGGACTTTTGGGTCTGGACAAGGGCGTTGCTGGGAGCGATGACATCCGTGACGAGGACGACGGCTGTGAAGTCGCTTTGGTAGACGCCGCCGAATTGACTTGCGCACTCAGCGTTTGTGAAGTTGGTGAGCTGCTTTCGGGACGCTAGGTCTTGGAGGTCGAGAATATCGCCTCTGGAGAGACCGCCGGCGTTCGTTTCTGAGGCGTTGCTGAACTGGCCCGAGGCGAGGAACTCTTGTGTGACAAAGACGACCTGGTGGGCGTAGCCAGGTTGTGTCGAAAAGATTACGGCATTATAACTAGTGAGAAAGTCAACGCCTGTCAGGTCTGATGAAGGGAAGCATGCTTTCAGCAGTAACAGCAGGAGCGCGCGCATACATTACTTGGGTACTGACGGCCGCCAGCATAATGATGACCGTCATGACAACCCGCGGTTTCGAGACGAAACGCAGGTTTCTAAAAGAAGGGATCCCGAGGTCGAGCCACCGCCTCCCGTCGTGCGCCATCTCAATCTCGATGCGCGTGGGACTGCTCAGGACCTGGAAGACGTAGTTGGCCGCCGACAGCAGCACAATGGTGATGACGTTGATGACGACAAAGAGGCCAATCTTGAGCTGTTCGGCCGTCGCGCAGGAGCCCTTGAAGATGATGCTCTCGCCCCTGATCATGCCGACGACGACGAGCGCGAGGACGAGGCACACGATGGCGACGATGAGGATGGCGAAGCCGATGATGATGTTCAACGCGATGCCGGCCCTCCAGCCCGACTTCATCCTGCTTAAGGTCCCTCCGCCTCCGCGCTTCTCGTCCGCCGGCGGCAGCATCCGTTCGAGATCCCCAATCTCGTTCTCGCCTGTCGACGGTCGATCCGTGGTCGCCTCGTCGTAAAATCCTTGCGCGGCCGCGTGATTCGCCGCGGCGGCCTGTGCCTCCAATGTGTCTGGGCTCTCCGTCTGCCTCTTGCGTTCCTCTCTCCGCTGCGCCATGGTCTCGGGCGTCTCTCCCCTGATGTAGTTGATGATGTAATCCGGGACGATATTTTCCAGAATTGTAGCCGTCGAGTTGCGCTTTCCCGGCGCCCACGTCGCTCTTCGTGTCGGTTCTTTTGGTTCTTTTGGTGGAAAACTTTGCGGGTCCGGGAAGCTCCCCGTGAAGCCAGTAAAAGGCCTCGACGAGGCGACATCGGAAGCGGAGCTCTGGTGACGGAGAAAAGGCCATTGCACCGTTTGCCTGCTCACTGTACTATCTCTCTGTTCATTGTTTTCTTGAAAGCGGACTCTGCGTTGAGGGAGTTATGTTAGTTGACTGCACAAACTCAATTCTAAAGATTCTGTAAAGAGGGTGTGCTGGAATGGTCCAACCTTTCTATCCTCTCGACCTGCCCTTCGTCGTCCCATACATATCTGTAGGACGGCCCATGATCTCTGGGTGGAATTACAACTTCCATGACCTCGTGGAGGACGGCAGCGCAGAGTCGTTCGCGCGGCACATGGACATGAAGAGATTAAAAAAGAAGAATGAAGAAGAAGGATGATTGAAGGTATTGCCAATATGGATAAGGTGTAGTATAGTATAGTTAGTAGAAGCCGGTCAATGCGGGATGAGGCAGAGGCGTCAGCAGCAGCAACAGAAGGCAGATCGAAAGACTGTAGGCCTGGTTCTTTTGCAGCAGCTTCTTTTTCGTCTCGTCTAGAACAGTAAAGACAAAACAGAATAGAGTTTTAGAGTGACGTGCAACTGACACGTTTGGTGAAGGGGGCGGAAGGAGGAAGGGAAAAAGGCATCCATGGCCGAGCGCCAGGGTTTGCGATCGTCTTGTATATGTCAGAGGACTCTCTCTTAGCCTCTCTTTACTCTCCTTCTCTTGTCCGTCCGACCTCTCAGACTCGGACGGCGGGCCTGGTGCGGGAGAGGCGGCGCCCTGACAAGGAAGGGCACAGAAGCGTAGGTGGAGGAAGGGTGGTGACCGATTATTGGACTAAAGGCATGGGCAGATCATGAGCAGGGGAGGGACCTTGTTTCCCTTCGGCGTAGGAAGGGATTTGAGACTTCTCAGGCCTCTATTCTGATGCGGAAGGATGAGCCGCAGCGCAAGTCGAGGACGACTAGTGGGATGGGTCACGGTGTGTGGATGGGTGAGGGGGAGACTCGAGGGAGATGTGACATGGGGCTGTATAATGCCCGAAGATGGAGGGGTGACGACGTCGGAGCATGACGAGAGCAACCAGGGATATTGGATGCAGATGCTTTGAGATGCAAGATGAGATGGCAGCCCTCGCGCGTGGTGAGCGACTCAGCCATATTCACTCTTCTCCAGACAGTTCGTAGATTGGATGACAAGAGAGAAAAAAGTAGAGAAAGCAAAGCCCGCAGAGCCATATCGTTGACCGTGCTGGGTAATTGGCAATAGGGGTGGCTGAGCTTTGATGAGCTCACGGGTCATAGTGTGAGTCGAGGGCAAAGCTAGAGGATCCGATCATCTGGGACCAAGGGGAGAATGGGTAGAACAGACGAAGAAGAGACAGAGAAGAAAGCATTGATCACTTTGACGTGTCTTGTCTAGTGCCGGCCGTGTCTGACAATGTCTTTGTTTCTCGACGTTTGAGAGACGAAGGAAATCCGAATCTCGGTCAATGCTGGCTTGGCTTGCCAACATTGCAACTCACCGATGGGACTTTGACCAACACGCCTGAGTATGTTTCTTGCCCTCAGAAAGGGTAATCAAGAGGCGTCGGCGAACTAACACTTGCAGCCCATAATAGAAGAGAGGGACGATGTAGGTCGATCCGGGAGCTACGGCGGCGGCGGCGTTAGTGAGAGTATCCGCAAGATGTAATTAGGTGGAATTAGTTCAGGCCGTGTTGGGACGGTCACGATTGGATGCCAACAGTTCCCATTGCCGTTTCAGACGTAAAGCCCTCGCTACTACTGTCATGAAGGGCATAGAAGCACATCCAACTACCGGCATGTCTCTTGGAGGAAACGACGGCCGAGAAGGGGGCAGACAAGGGGGAGGGGACGGTTTCTGCGCATGTTCGCCAGGGCTGCATACCTTAGAGTCAAACTCAACACTGAAGGTGCAGGGGGGAGGAAGACTTGAAGCACCTCAAAATCCACAATAAAAAGGAATCAGGAAGGGGGGAAGCATTGCCGGTGGACGGCTGGTCTTGTTACAGATGAGACCAATCAGAGGCCGCCATGGCACTCTGCATTTTCCATCTTTAGAAACCGACTTGTTCTCTTCTGGCTCTGGCTCTGGCTCTGGCTCTTCTACTGCGTAGACACCTGCATACCGAAGGGCTTTCGACTACCTACGGCACGCGTGGCTGGAACTCTACTATCTATGCCTCTTATGGATGAGTCTCTCACGGATTATTGCTCTAGAATCGAAACATTTCCAAAAGGGACTGTCCGACCGACCCCGTAGCTGGCATCCCTTCATGAAGCATCCTCCTGTCCACCATGATCCTTCATGCAGAGGAGCCCTCACTCAACCCACAAGAAAAGAACCATGGAACGGTCAACCCGGGTTTCTCATTCACCCAAGATCCAATCATCCCTACCGCATATCCCCCTCGCCCCCATCCCATCTGGTCCTCTCCGTTCAACCCAAAGTCCCAAAAGACCCATCAAGACCGCGAAATGTGAAGGCGAGCCAGGCACCACTCACACTTTCATGCGTCCGACGTAGCCCCATACCACCGCATCTGGGGTCTGCCTGTTTCAACAACGTCTCCCTCAAGGGGGCTGAGAACTCGAGAAGCATCGAGTGTGCTGCGCTAGAAAAAGTCTGGCGTAAAATGCCCGTCGAACCATATGTCGGGCACCTATAAGTTGCAGCCAACAGCTTTTTCCTGTTCAAACTTCACGTAGGTTGCCTCATCCTGGCCTCTTCATCCCAGGAGTAATAGGCTTTTGCCCATTCATCCCCCCACCCTCACCTCGTGCTTCCCTCACAGCCTCACTCTGCGCATTAAGTCCACGAGCAGAGGTCATTAAAGTCGATTAAAGATGAACCCCCTTCCCTTTCACTTTCGATCGGAAAGGTTGGGATGTTGGGAGACTCCCGTTCGCACCGTTCGGGCTTTCTCTCAACCAAGGGCCCCAGATTCAATTAAACGCCAAGTGCGCGTGCGACTTTTGCGCGACGCTCCAATGTCGTAATGGCATAGACCCGGCCGGCTTCCCTCTCAACCCTCAAATCTCCTACTGTCTCCGTCGCCCACCGCAGCCGTCGCCATTACTGCCCCGGACGTTTGGCCCCCTCTCCACTTCAAAGCGACCGCAGTTGAAAAGGAGAATGATGAGTGGACGAATCAGTGAATCCAGAACGAAACGTCTCTGATCATTGGGAATCATGGCAAATGGCACGTTAACATTCGCTATGCTTGCGCATATTTGGGGCAACTGCTTATGAGTTTGCGCCCGAAGCTAACACAACACCACCGCGCTCACAGACGCTGGGCTTTTGTCAACCCCAGGTTCGTCTGTGGACGGACGGTGAGCCGTAAGCAAATCCTTCCCCTCAGCTGACGACTCACCGACGCAATCTCGCAATAAGATGGGCGAGCTATACACAACCACCACGTCCAAAACTCCAGAGAATAAGAAAGAAGGCCAGCTTCCCCGAATGAGATGTGAGATAGCGGCCAGCCATCATCTTTTGAAACGACCGAAGTGCGCCATCGTGGGCGCCCTGCGGGATCTGTTAGGCCGTTAAGCTCTGACGTCTCATATTATATCTGCCAACGATCGCCTCGGCAGACCTGAGGATTGCGGTGACAAGTGAGACTAACTCTGTGACGGCTCTGCTAGGAAAGGTGACCGCTGACGGGCGGCTGCTTAACTTTGACAAGTTGGTCCTAGCGGAGAGCTGTGCGTAAATTGCATCTTTGGTGTTGGATGCCATCAAAGATGTCTGTCAAGAGCGCACGAACCCTACGTTTTTGTTTGTTGGTCGCTGCGAAGGCATCGGACAATGCCAGTACAACATCAGCCAAAACGACCATCCAGACGAATACTGGCAAAAGGATGTCAAATTGACAAAATGAAGATGAACAACAAGCCGAGAACGCACTCCATGATGACGTAATCAGTGAAAATGGCAAAAGTATTCCGAAACCGAGAATCGAACTCGGGGCTATGCCTAACCTCTCACTGAGATGAGAGGGCATCATGTTGGCCACTACACCATATCGGATGTTCATATCTTTCCTGGCTCCATATCGAAATAAGTAGGGCAAGCTCACCCCACGGAGTAAGAACAGTCACCGGAGCAGGTATTCGCACCACAGCTGGCAAACAATGTTCCTCCTTGAAATTGGTCAATTTTTCAGTCACCTTGGACAAATGGGATTCTCCGCCTTCCCCAAAAGTTTCTACGTCAAAGGAACATTTTGCAAAGCCAGCGAACGAGTGGACTCGATGATTTCTCCTCGACCAGTCATGCAAATCGCCTTACCACTTCCACCGTCAGCTTGTCAGGCACATTACAAATATGCACACGCTGACCATTCTACAATTCCACATAGAATGGCGTGCCGTCTTTTGCCCTTTTGTGATTTACAATCAGCATTTCAGCCAACGCAAAGCTGGTCAGCATTTCTCAGCCGCCAGAGCCCCAAAAAGGAATGAGAGAGCATCTGGAACCATCGGAAACCCACAGCTCACTACCTAACCCATGCCACATCCTCAGTCCCCCAGACTGGGACGAACTCGTCCCATCCACAACTGGTAAACCGGCGGGAAATGGTTGCCGGAAGTACGGACATACGGTACATCTTACAGTTTCGAGTGTCGCGCGCGCCGAGCCATAAGGCAGAAGAAGATGGTTTCCGGCAGCTCCAATCGGCACAGCAGGAGGAGTTGCAGCTTGGTCGTGTGAGCACCGCATCGCTGGAGCGTTAAGGTTTCGAAGAAGGTGGCCTGCAGGCTGCTGGTCGGTCTCGCTGTCGCGGGGCAGCAGCAGAAGCTTCGGGCCCCCACGGTTCGGAACGTGGAGCTCCAGCCTGTAAAGCAGGGCGGGTTTCTCTGCCCTTCACGAAATCTAAAGTACTGTTGGTACCTTACTTCCAAAGTAGGCATACCGTCCACAACCAGTCAGCCTTGGAGCTCATCTGGCGCAACCTTCACGTAGCTTCTCGCGCGGCGTTAGGCTGGGAAAGCCGAAAGGCCAATCCTGAGTTCCCAAACTTGGCAGATGTTCGCTTCCTTTGGGCATCCCATCGGGAAAGGAAGTCGGAGCAGAGACTCGGGAGGAGCTCCGACCCGAAGCGGCCGATCCACAGTGCCATTGCCTGCCTCTCTTGGACCTGGGCAAGTAGGCATGTAGTACGGTAGCAGCTGAGGGCCTATGTACTGCCCATACGGAGTAGTACCGTACGGTAAACGGATACCTGACCAAGTCCCGGCAACCACTTCGGGATCTCTTGCCTCTGCCTTGCGAGGGTCGGTTCGGTCACGGGTGGACCGTTATTGACCGTGGCAGGCGTAGATCGTGGTGCAGCTGCCTTGGTCGTGAACCCTGGCCAATCATGAAGATCCTGGTATACTGCGTAGTTGTGCGTAGGTACCTGTTGTGGCTGGTGTCAGTCTTGCTTGCTCATTCCCCATCCCTAGCACGCAAGCAGTGACGTATCGTGGTAAGAGTCAAACGAATCTGCCCCTCTCTCCGTCGTCAGTCTTGCTGGGTTATCATCTTGAAGCAAGATGTCGTCGTGTATCTTGCGATGGCCGAAATGGTAATGTCCCAAAGTGAGCAGTTTGGAAGTGGACAAGACCTCACCCTGGTGAGATACCAACGCTCTTCAATATCCATCAACAGCTAACAAACAGATCATTATCCCACGCATACTCCGTACTTTGTACCCGACGTCGAACTAAGTACTAAACCCCCGCCAAAAGGATCAACAACGGCATCCAGCCATATCCAGTCACACTTTCTTTCTTTCCGCTGGCAAGCTCTTCTGGATCTAGATGGGGGGCCTTTCAAAGTTCAAGGGCCAGGCCGACGAACCAGATGATGTGCCGTGGCTAAAAATGGTCAGCCCAGCCTACCTTACGGGATACATGTGTAGGTACGGAGTACTTCGTGCGTCCACAGGGACCCGTCCGCCCTTTCAAGTTCCGGACCACCAACGCCCACCCGTCCGTATGATGATTTAGCACAGCCACAGGCCTCGAATCGTACGTTTTCACTCCCACCTTCCTCCCGTCAGATTGCACCAGATTCTCCCGTCTGCTTACTTTGCCTCAGCATCCATTGGCTAGAAGCCATCAATCTCACTCTTCTGAGCTCTTCATTGGTGAATCTTGACTGTGGCGGCTATCCTCTTGGGCAGTGGGGGGAGTTGAAGGGTTGAAGGTGCTGCCAGCCTGCGTTGCCTGCTCGTCCCACCAGGGAGGGGTGTGAAGGGAACTCGCCGGGCCTTGTTAGTGGGTGGTTCCCTCTGCGCAGCGAGTCACACTCAATCTCCCCATGCCCGCCCTCGTCCGTTTTCTGCCTCTTTTGACGCCAAATCGCATGTTTCGTGCCCCCCCGTCCGCCGATTTGGGGCCAAGTTGACAGATAGGAGCGCGCGCGCCGTAAAGATACATCACAAATGTACGCAGTACCTACCTGTGGCATTCGTACAAATCGTCCTACTGTGGTACAAGTCAGAAGGAGAAAGTGGAGGAAGGGGAAACCGAAAAAAAAGGGTCCCCCTGGTGCCTGGTCTGGTGCCACGCCCACCATCCACGCCTACCGCGCAGTTCGTCTCTTTGCCCACGACTTCCAGCCCAAATATAATGCAGCCCGTCTGCTCCCCCTCATAGCTTGCCTTCTATCATCTTGTTTCCCATTCTCCCTTTCAAGGATTCTAATAATAACCGATCAAGCCCTATTACCACCATCCTGCTCTCCCTCTGCCACCAGAGCCGCGTGTCGATAACTCCACATCCAACTTGCTCTCAGCCTCACTATCTATACCTCTTATACAAAGCACGCGACCACCTCTCTACAACTACCTGAGAGCTTCTCCGTCTCTTCACAACCTACAACCTACAAGTCTTGTTACACGACAACCTCACACACCAACTCCAAAATGTCGCCCACATACACCATGTCCGCACACCTGTGCAAGTCTATCTACGCCTCATGGCGCGAAACCCGCCGTTCGCCTTCCGATCTGCCCTCCCCCGGCGTCCAGGCCCCCAGCATGACCTCCTACTTCCCTCGCAGCCCTTCTCCTGAGAAGCGCTCCATGGACAGCGACCGCAGCGAGACCACCGTTCCCATGTCTCGATCACCGTCTGCCTCCTCGTGGCGCGGACCCAAATAGATGGCGACTGTACGCATCTCGGTCGGCTCTTGGGCCCTGAGCATGAAGCTTTGAGCTTCAGCTTGGGGTGTTTATAGAGCTCTCCACAACCACTCTCATCTAGTTGGACCAAGTAACACATCATCTCAACTTGGGATACTGGGCTACCTGCATGTACGCATTTACGATAGTCATGGAAACCGGAAAGGCGTCAAGGACATTGGAATTCAAAAACAACAACATCAATCTTTCGAAGCTGGAATTGCAGCATGCGAGCTCAAGTCCACCCCACCGTGCCGACGTTACCTCCAACCGGCGCCGCTGACTCGGTCGCTTTCGCGTTCGGGTGCCTTATCAACAGCGGGACTTTTACACAGAAGCACCAGCCAAACGCTCAATTCTATCTTCGTTCGATTGAGAGTTTTCCGGATCTACAGCATCGGGGAGTTTACGGCGCACACAACACAATCAAACATTCACGTCAAATTCCGGCAGTTTTTGGGTGGGGTTGGGAGGAAAGGGACGTAAATCCGAAAAGGTTTCGTCCGTCACGCCATCAGGGTCGGGCATCACATCAAGCCCACTTTTCTTGTCTCTTTTGTACTCTCGGCTTCGTACCAATTCCTCTTTGCAAGTTGCTGCTCGTACCATCAGCAGGCAGGGGAAGGGAGTGAAGAGCCCACCCTCCATGATTGTATCGCCGGCGGGGCACGCGGAGGAAGGTGGGATGTGAAGGGGAAGGGGCAAGAATATCGTTCGAGAGACATGCAAGTCTACGACATTCGTCTCCATCTTTTGCTTTGCCCCCTCCACCCCTCCGACTCTCTACCTGCGTCTGCTTGCCTTGCATTTCGTATCTTTTTTTTTCTTGTTCTTCTTTAGCAGAGCCTCCAACACTGGCTCTCGTGTATGGAATAGATACCCCCAAATAAATTGTTCACATCAACTTCTTTCTGTGCCACCATCGCTATTCTTGGCAACTGTGATTGAAACATTGTACTCACAAAGTCGGTCCAATGTCATCACAAATCGTCTAAAATGCCCCGTCTACAACCGAATGACCCTCTTCACGTGCCAAGTTTCCTCCTAACCAACTTCAGCCCCTTCCATGGACCATACTCCGTTCATACACGTGTAGGTCCACATCCGACTTCCGACACCGACTCTTCTCGAACCCCCCCCTCCCTTTCCGAACCGGCACTTCTCTGTTATCAATCAGTGATCGTCGGGCGGAGCCCCCCCCCTTACTGCCTACGTACATTATTATCGCGTACCATCAGTACGGAGTCCTGCGTATGAGGCTATGAGCGATTTGGGGGGGTAACTTACCCCACATGAGCCACACACTGAGTGCATCTCCAACCAACCCTTCAAGAGTCCGGACTCCGAAACCAGGAACAATCGTAGCAGTAGAGTCAGTAGACCGCTGTCGACCCGGCCCCACCATGACGCAACGAGGGGGTGGGAAAACTTGGGAAAAGCTCACGGGAAATTCCATCACCCTAGTTCACGCGAGACCAACACCAGAACGAATGGCTGGGCGAGAGAGGAAGATCGAGGGAGAGAGAGAGGCGGGAATCCACTTTGGTTTACCTTGGTGGAGGACCGGACCTGCATTGGAATTGAGACTGAACATCAGACACCAGGGACGACTCGGGAGGGGCCCCTCCACTGATGAGCATGATGATGTTCGTCTCTGCTTGACGTGACTACGCCGCACCGCGTCGTGCGCGTCAAGCTGTTCACCGTGATATCGTCGGAGGACCTTCGTGATAATGGAAGAAGGGGGGGGGGGGTGGGTGGGGGTTCCTCTCTCGCTTTAGCAATCATCCAGCATCCCACTTACCCTCCTCTCAATTTCGTCACCGTGCACAGTCGCCGTTCCCGAGGGTCAGGGGCTCCGTAGACCGGGTCCCGCGTCCGACTCGGTTCATCCGTGACCTTGCCGTCGCTCTGTCCGGACCGGGGGGCCAGCCGTCAACCATGTACCGATGGATGGCTGATCCATTAAGTCTTTGGTCATCGTTCAATGTCCCAAGTAACCGAGCCTCATCGTACATCAACACCATTTGGGCGCGTCTTCCACTTCTTTCTCCCAAGGACGTTGTTTACCACACTTTTATACTAAACTATTTCCTCACATACACATGTTGCGAGATTCGTCACTCAGGAAAGAGATTGTAAATAAAAGTTGGGATAACCCGCGGTCACGAGATTGTGGGAGTTGCGCTGTCACTTGACCATTCTGCAGTTCTCCTTCCCATCCATCATTAAAGAGAAGAACTATTCCAGAGCACTGCACCCTCTCTCAAAACCCTACAGATTTATGCCAAAAGATGACAGAACAAAAAGAAGCAAAAAGAAAAAGGCTAGCAAGTCTACGTAATCCGAATGCGTTGAAGCTCCCCCAAGGCAATAAACAAGATTCCTCATCAAATGAAAAGTAAACCGCCATAAAACCGTCGACGATGCTGCTCTGCTGCTCCCCCACCCTGCGACTCAGTCCCTCCTCCACCTGCACCACACGCACCCCTCCTCACTCACTCACTCACTCACTTCGGCGGTGCCCCACCCCTCACGTCATTCTCACAGCTTCACCAAACATCCTCACCTTCTTCTACCGTTCCGACCTCATTCCCTCTCATGCAACGGTTCAGCCGTCACCCATCATTCATCACCCATCATCACCACCGTCTCATCACTCACTCACTCACTCTACCCCACTCCACTCCACCACTGGACCCAACACACACACATACATTCGCGACTCCCAACTTCCCTTCCCACTGACACTCCCAAGAAAAAGGGGCCAACTCAGCCAACCAGGCATCCCCATGTCGGCACACGGCAACATCACATGGAACCTCCAAAAACTTCTCCTAATGGATCACACTAGTATCATCCTTGAATAAAAGACCTGACCAGGAAGAAAAAAAAAAAGGGACGAGGGCCATTCGCGAATGACGAGCAAAAAAAATAAAAATCAATTAAACCCCCAGTCAAACTCTCAACCTCGTCAATGCCTAATAATAGGAACCAACCCCCTCCACATTCTCCATCCTAACTTCATCAATGCCATGAACAACTCTCCCCTTACTTAGACTCTAGCCGGCCCTTCTAGAAGAAAGTCATGAAATGATTTTGGTCCCATGCTTTGCTCGTTCCCTACGCGATTCGTGTAGTCCATCATCTCCAGCATGGCGCCCATCCTCGCAGAGTCTCAATCAACGCTGTTGCACCCTTCCCTACATCGTGGGGACATACACTCATCTGGGGCCTCACTGCAGGCAGGAAACTTTCCCTTTTGGACCTTAACGCATCAATTCATTGGTCACCACATCACATTTGGCTTCATCATGAACCAGGGGGCCCGTTTTACAGAAAACTGACATGTTGCTGCATTCATTCAAAGCGAGCGAGCGACATTGCTGATCCCCCACCTCGCCAAGCAAGGCCCTCCCCGCACCCTAGACTCTCCCCTACTCTCGTTTTCTGTACTCTGTATTTCGTAAAAATGTGTTGCCTCTGATCCAATCATGTGTGTGCTCTCCCACATCCCGTGCCCTTATGCTCGGTGCCGTAATCGCTGCAATCGCTGTACTACAGTCGCATTCAGCCATGTCGTGTGTCTGTTGAAAGCCACCAACGTCGCAGAAGCGAAACCACAGGAGACAAGCTCGACGCGGCTCATGCGAAGGGCGAGGAAATCGCCCAGTTCTTCCACAACGCCGTTTTGTTCTCTACCTCTTCTTGCTCCTCTATCTTCCAGTCACTGATAGGTACTCGTATTCGGAACCGCTGGCAAAACGCACATGGCGCCCGAACCGCTCACACGCAACGCGAAGACGGCGACTCTACATGGCCGACGCAGCGTGCGTGGTGATGCCGGCGCTGGCGTTCGGAGTATCTTCGCCACTGGATGACTCTTCGCTGCCGAGGCTGCCTCCAATACGGCGTTTGGCGTCCTTCTTCTCGGCATCGGTGACGTCCTTTGCGTCCTTTCGCATGTCGGGTTCCCACTGAGGCTGGTCGGGGGCGTGTCCGACAGACATGCCTACGCGAACCTACAAATAATGTCAGCAGCTACTTTCGATAAGGGGGGCTTTTGAGATATAACTTACTAGGGTCTCGAGAGCCCCGTTGGAGTTGTCAGTCAGGTCGTCATCGAACTTCATCTTGCCCGGCTCGAATAGCAATACGATCGTGCTGCCACCAAATTTGAAGTAGCCGAGTTCATCGGCACGATTCACTTGCGCGCCCTCCTTCTGCGTAATCACAGTACTGCCAACCATCATGGCACCAACACAGATGACCATGACGCGGCCGTGAGTCGGGCTATCGATTGGGCAGAGAACTCGGACGTTTTCGCCGTAGACATCGAGAGCGGAACGGATGGCCATGGGGTTCACCGTGTAGTATTCTCCTGCAATCGTCTTGGGCTTGCCCAAAACACCATCCACAGGGATGTGGAAGCGATGGTAATCCTGGGGCGCCAAACGGAAGATACCAAGAGCGCCATTCTCGAACCGCTTCACGTCTTCGGGATAAGCATCACCAAGCAAGCGCTTGATGGAGAACTCGCGGCCCTTGATCCAAACCTGGGTCGCCTGGTTCACACTGTTGAAGACAACGCTGCGACAGTCGGCGGGAGACACGACAACGTCAGGACGGTCAGGGGCCGAGCATGGGCGAGCTTCGGGTTTCAAAGCTCTGTAGAAGAACTCATTGAAGTTCTTGAACTCTTCTGTTGGAAGGAGCACCTCAGACATGTCGAGGCGGTGGAACTCGATAAATTTGGGGATCTCAGCCTTAGAAGCCGGATCATCAAACTTCTTGCCCTGCTTGACACTCATGCTCTTGAGCATCTTGCGAACTAAAACAGCATTGTCAGTCGAGCTTCTCGTGAACTACCTGCATCAGAAACTTACTTCGCTTGGTCTCCATGTTGCTCGACTTCAGTCCCTTGTACAACAGGCGAATGCCTAGTCTGACGTATACGCTCATCTTCTCCTCGTTGATTT